GGCTTTTTTTTTACTTAAAATAACTCAAAACTATTAATCTATATTTTAAATGAATCTTTTATTTCAATATACGCATAAAAATTTAAGTTGACATAGTGAAGTCTGAATTTTTAGAATAGATAAGTTAAACTTACTTTTAGATACAAAATACAGACATGTTTGATATTTTTAAATAACAAAAATGTAGCTCAGTTTTTTTCGTGTGCAAAAATTATAAAATATAACATTTCTTACAAAAAATAACATATTGAAAGCAAATATATGCATACATACCATAGAATCTACATCTGTATCTATTTCAGAAGGTTATAACTTTATCGAAATTTTTTTTATTAAAAATTACCTATAATTTGAAGATTGATATAAATTAAATTTAAGCTATTTTTTTCAGCAGCATCAGATTATACACTATGCAAATATTTAGACGCTTGAAGTATTAGGACCTCTTTTAGAAGATATTTCTACTACTAGCTCTAAAAGCCAACTCAATGTCAGCTCCTTTACAGAAAATGACTCGAGTCTTTCTAAAAAGCCCAGAATTCAGATAGATATTAACAACAAAAAAATGCTAATGATTTAGAAGGCAATTCCAGAAAATTTATTAAAGTTAATAGCTCATATGGGAAGTTCATCCACAATCTTAGTACCTTTATGTAGAAAAACAAGCAGATGAATCGAATAAATGTTTTGTTTTAAGCATCAGAAGCAGGAAATAACAATAGATTACACTTTCTTGGTGATTTCGCTGAAGACATGAACTTTCCGAAAAAGGCTAAAAAAAGGTAAAAAAAAATATTTAAAATTGCTACGACAAAGCAACGAGAATTGAATACAAAAAGGAAATCTCTTTGAAAGAAAAAACAGAAAATTGGAAAAACATGTAGCTTCTCTGAAAGAAACGCCTTGTTAGTGAAGCAGCTAGGGACGAATTAGAGGTAAGACAATATAGTAATTTTAAACTAGCCGAAGCAATTTTCTGTGTCATTCCATATATTCTTAGTTATTTGTTCCTGAAATCATAAATTTTCAGTGCTTTTAACTGTTTCTATTCCCTGAGTATGGTTTTATTCTTTTAAGATAAGATTTTTTAAAAATTTTTTTTTTACATATTTGTACTGAACTTTTTTGAAAACGATTTAAAGGCTTTTTTGTTTTCATAAAAATTAATGTTGATGTCCTTTTCGAATTAATCTTTTGGAAGAAAAAAAGTGCTAGTATTATCTTTTACCAAAATTTGCACCAAAAAATAAGTTTGGTATGTAGTGAAATATTAAATTGATTAATCAGTGCTGGATTACCCATTAGACCAGACTAGGCCATGGCCTAGGGCCCCCCTAAAAATGAATTTTTATTCTGAACTGAAACAGTTTCAGAGTTACATGAAATCAAAATTCCCATCAAAAACTCAGTTCACTCATACTGAACTTCACGAAACCTTATTTCAAGAAAAACTTGGATCTGTTTTTCCAAATGTTGAAACTGAGCTTCGCATTTTCCTAACTCTTATGAAAACTCAGTGGGCTGTCGCGCCCCTGAGTTTCAGAGTTATGATAACAAATTTGTTCTACGGAGCGCTCGTTTTCAAAAATGAAGCGAATCAAGAGTGAAAAAAGAAGCGTCATGTTTCAAAAACGATTAGGCATGCTAAGTTTGATGTCTATCGAATTTGAATCGTCATTTGAAGACCTGTTATTTCCAGACATAAGAATCGTCATTTGAAAAAAAGAAACGTTCGAAAACACTTCTAACCTTGTCAACAATATAGCAATTTCAAAATTTAAACCTAAATGATAACTTGTAAAATGAACTTATCTCGCTGTACGAACGAACAATAAGCTAACAATAACGAATGATGGTGCGCGGCATGCAACAAGAGAAAACAGTAATAAACAAGAAAAAAGAGGCTAAATCGGGACTGCCAAAAAAACGAGGTTTTCTAAATGTAGCAACCATGTCAACACTTCTAACCTTGTCAACAATATAGCAATTTCAAAATTTAAACCTAAATGATAACTTGTAAAATGAACTTATCTCGCTGTACGAACGAACAATAAGCTAACAATAACGAATGATGGTGCGCGGCATGCAACAAGAGAAAACAGTAATAAACAAGAAAAAAGAGGCTAAATCGGGACTGCCAAAAAAACGAGGTTTTCTAAATGTAGCAACCATGTCAACACTTCTAACCTTGTCAACAATATAGCAATTTCAAAATTTAAACCTAAATGATAACTTGTAAAATGAACTTATCTCGCTGTACGAACGAACAATAAGCTAACAATAACGAATGATGGTGCGCGGCATGCAACAAGAGAAAACAGTAATAAACAAGAAAAAAGAGGCTAAATCGGGACTGCCAAAAAAACGAGGTTTTCTAAATGTAGCAACCATGTCAACACTTCTAACCTTGTCAACAATATAGCAATTTCAAAATTTAAACCTAAANAGTGGTTATTATGTTTCTCAAAGTGCCTGGGGAAGGGTGTCCTAGCCTGCGATGCCAGAGTCCATTCGACTGGATCGTTGAAATGTACGCTGCAGGACAATCTTCTTCTATAATATATAGTCTTCCCTGTCTTCTAGCTCTCAAGACAATTTCACCAGTTTCTACCAGTATTTTTGCTTCACCATGGGCAAATTCAATCTTAAAGCCTTTTTCTTCAATCCTGCCAATCGACAGCAAATTTCCGCCCAAGTCTGGTACATACAATACATTTTCAAGGTTAATGTTGCTGTTGGTAGAATCTTCTTGAACTGAAATAGTGATGTTTCCTGTTCCGGTAACTTGAACTTTTTCAGAATTCGCCACTTCTACCACTGAGGTGTAATCAGTTAGCGATTCGAATTTCTTTCTATTTGACGTCATGTGCTCTGTAGCACCACTGTCTATAATCCAGATTGTTGAGTCTTCAGCTTTAAATTTATTTGTTAATAAGGCCCAGTTCGTTTTTAAATCTATAGCAGTCTTGGCACTGCTTTGATTTCTTTGTTGTGCTTCTTCACGATTTTTGGAGATGTGACCCCATTCTCCGCAGCTAAAACACCTGATAGTTTTCTTCGAATTTGCAGCTGTTTCGCTGTTTCTTTTTGTTGTCCATTTCTTCACAGTGTTTGTCTGCATTGGTCTTTTTTGATTATAGTTTCTTGTGTGAAGTGCCCGTTCTTCCTGCTCTTCAACATTTGGCACATTTCTATATATTCTTTTTTCTTCAACTAATAGTCTAGACTTCACAATGGTTGTTGTCAAGTTATCTTCGTCCTTTTCTAAGTTCAGGATTAAGCTTTCATATGATTTTGGCAGACCTATTAACATGACGAGGGCAACTTCTCTGTCGGTGAAAGCGTAACCACCACTCGACAATTTTCGGTGNCATCCACCTCAATGTCTCAGAAACTTTTTTAGCGAATCGAAAATTTTTTCACACAATTATAAAAAATATTTGGTAAAATATAATTTCATGCAAAAATATTTTTTATTATTTTAGTTGATAATTGACGAATAAGTTTGAATTGTATGATACCCAAATTTTTACATCACTTTAACTAAAGTAATTTTAAATGGAAAAATACAATAATGTGATTGAATAGTTCCTGAGTTATTCAATTTTCAAAAAAGTCGTAATTTTAAATTTTGATTTCTCAAGAACTATTCGACCAACTTCGTGCAAAATTTCTCATTTAAATTGATATAAAAATTTGTATACGATATAAATTTTTTGGAACTATTTTTAAATTAAATATCAAGAAATAATTGTTCAAAATTATTTTTGTTTGAAATTATTTTGCGATAAGCGAATATCGCAACCGTGTGCTAAAGCTTTCCGATTCGCTGAAAAAGTACGCAATATAAGGCGAAATATACAAAAAGTAAAAATAACTTTAAAGGGTCTAAACTTTTGAGCTCTCTTCTGTCAAAAATTGGGCCCATATTATAGATGGCGATAATCTTTCTTCACTCCATGACTTTCTAAATAAAATATCGTAAATAAAAATATCGTCTGCAATACTTAATTAGCATATTTTTAATGCTAAACCTTCGACCATATAGATTGATCCGAGTAAATGATAATGCCATCTTTAGATCAAAACTTGTTTAGAGTACGTAGGTATTTCGTACTTTCCTTACGTCTCACTAGAGCTGCGTTGTTAGCTAATGGCGACGGTCTACTAAACATCCCTATGAGGGTGATCCGAAGTCCTGCCATCACAATTTTGATTCTCTGCATGGGGTTGGCTCCTCCGCTTTGGAAGCCCGACTGCTGCGCGTGAAATTTAGCAATACGATTGAACAGTTTAACGATGACCGAAACTGCGCACTCTTTACCCCTACGCAGGCTGATTAAAGTAGTCACCCAGCCACTTAATGATCGCAGCTCGCAGCATGTTTGGCTTCAATGTTGTACTAGGAACCGTGCATTTACGATCAGTCCACTGCGGGACAGTTATTTAGAATGTTCACCCATTTTTTTTCTTACTTTCTGTGCGTCTAAAAAGAAGGAAGAGTAGCATTCAATCAGATATTAAGGATTGGTTAATTATCACGCTGAATCTATTTCGGATAAGAGTAAATTGGATGCCTGCAAGCGACGTCACAAGTGGATAGGTACTTGAAAGTTGTTGTTGTTAATTTACGTCACACTAGAGCTGCACAATGGGCTATTGGCGACGGTCTGGGAAACATCCCGGAGGATGATCCGAAGACATGCCATCACAATTTTGATCCTCTGCGGAGGAGATGGCACCCCCACGACCTGCGCGCGAAGTCGAGCACTTTACAGTAGCACAGCTTAACGAGGACCAAAACCGCACACCCTCGGTCCCGACGCAGACTGATCCAAGTGGTCACCCACCCGCACACTGGCTGTAGCTAGTGATGCATGACTTCGGTGATCTGCTGGGAACCGTGTCTTAACGATCAGTCCACTGCGGGACTTTGAAAGTTAAGAAAAAGCACTGTCATGCATGTGTGCCTAACCTTGGCTTCTAAATTGAGGAATTACCCACGGAGAAACGAAACGTTATACGGAAATTTTTATCTTTCTTTGATCTTCTTTTCAATCTTTTTTTGATTTTCTGTTGTAAAAAGACGATTAAAATTGCGAGTTTTAAAAATCCCTATTAACTACAATTTCGTATCATTTTTTCCCTTCTTTCATCTTCACATTTCCCTAAACATCGCGCAAGCGCATTGTTATATAACGTAAGCGCAGCGCTAAGTTTGTGTACTTTAAATTTAAGTTACTGTTATTTAACGAAATAAGGAAACAAAGGTTAGTTCAAAAATACATTTTGTGAATTTCAAACGGAAAACAATTTGGAGATTTTGGTATTTTAATGATTAATCTTTAACAAATATGAAATTAGATTAAATTAAAATGTATTTTAATTTTGAGTGTTGTATGGTTTGTTTTAACACAAATTTTGAAATTGAACTGTTTGTTCTATTTATTGATGTAAATTTTACTATTTTCAATGCATTTTTCTTTTTGCAATTCAATATTACATTTTAGAAATCCTTTAAGCATGTTTCTAAATTGTTTCCAACTATTTTAAATTACTTTCTTTAATAAATTTATCTGTCGAGATATCGATGTTATTATTTTCTGTCTTTCGAACCTTGGTCTGATTAAGATAAGCAAATAACATGGATTTATTTTTAAGATTAAAGTTCAAAAAATTGTCAATACCTACTAAAAAGTCGTGAAACAGATTTAAAGATATTAAATGACAAATGGAAATAATATTACTTAATATATATATTATATTTTAAGTTAATTCTGCAAATGCGTTTTAGGATTTAGATTAATATATTTTGAAGTTCTAGTTTTAATTTTTGCATTTGATACGAACCGTTTGACACTTTTCATCCTAGAAACTCAATGTTAATTAAACATCTGGTTTTATAGGATTTGAGCAAGTTTAAATATATTTATTTAGTTAAAATTTATAAACTTTTTATTGTAATTTATTTCTTTTTACATGCTTTTGTTTAACTTCTAAAGTAACAATGGATTATATTCAGTATAAATTTTCACTATACACACCATTTCAATGATCCCAACTCGCTTCATTTTGTTGACCAATGGTCAAATATTCTGATTTAAGAAGAAAATAAAATGTTTGCAAAATTTATTATATTAATTTGTTTAGTATGGTAAGATTTATTGTACTAAAATTAGTTATTATTTTAATTAATGTTACATTTTTATCTTACAAAAATATTCTTTAAAAAATATTATATTACAAAAATATTGCAAGATTTTTTATATTAGTTTAGTATGGCAATATTTTTTTAAACTTGTAGGGAATATAACTATAGATATTGTTTTCATGCAATCTAAAAATAGAGGATATTTCTGTATCCTGATTTGTTGCGTGGACTACAATCACCAAGGCACCAAATGGATTTTAAACTTCCAAATTTGTAAAGAAACCTATAGAGGTTTTCCCGGGGGTGGTTACATGTTGTATTCTTTGAGTTGGTGCTCTTCTGCAATGTTTTTGTTTCTCTTGGGCCATTGTGCGGAAATTATTTTATTATTATTTAGCATAAATCATGGTATGGGGTATTTCCATATTGTGATCTGTTTCGCCAACTGCGATCACCAATCAGGATTTGGGGTTATTATTCTCCTGCAAATCCCAATACGGAAATCTTTCTTGCTATACAAAAATATTCTCAAAAGCAGGGTTATATGATTTTTTTTTTTAAATAAAAAGCCCTGATTTAAAGAAACTTTTTTATTTACAAAAAATTATAGATTTAATTTTTTTTAAATCTGAATATTATATATTGATTGTCAACAATATGCAATGTTGAATGTATAACAATTGTTGTATGTAATAAGTTTAATTTAGAAGTAAAATTTCAAACTTATGAACTTTAGCACTTGGGAAATAATTTTTTTGAAAGTATTAAAAATGTTTTTCGATTTTTCAGAATGCAAACAAAGAATGAGGAGAAAGTTTAATGCAGTTTTTTCCTATTGTAAAATATATCTTTATACTATATGTTTCTCCACAATGTATACACATATAAATAAATGAAGCAAATAAAAGTTGGTTGAAAAAAAAAAGATGGTTTTAAAAATTAATTTTTTACCTATCTTTAAAATATTTTATTTTAATCTTGCGATTGTGTTTTCGAATTTTAAAAAGTAAATTATCTTATTGTTAATATGGCATTAAAAAAAAAAGAGTAGATAGATAAATTCAGATTGTCTTGCCTTTTTTAATAATGCATGTTTATCAAGAATGTTAGTGAATGCCTGTATTAATGTACTGCTTTATTTTTCATTATTATGTAATTTATATAAAATATGTTGTGGTTTGCCTTAAAACAAAAATATCAAAGATGCTTTATTTTCTTTCCCTATTTCTCGGAGTAAAGTAAATGTGTAACATTCACAGCAAATTTTATGCTTAGTAATTGGACTAAAAGAAAAAAAAAAATATTACAAGCAAGTTTTCTGAAATATTAATTGATTTGACCACCACATAAAAGAAAAATGTTTAAAGACTGTATGGAAATATAAATTGTTCTGAATTTTTTTCAGTTAAGAGTAAAGTATAAATTTTTATTGGAAGCTTCTCAAGTTTGGGATAACTGTGAGTTGATATATTTAAAATCAGTTTGCTTTATTTATAACATTAAGTGATTTTTTAAGAAAATATTAGTTAAAAAATATCTAGCTTAAAATTTTTTTTAAACGTTACATGTCTCTTTAACTTGAAATTTATGACAAAATAAATTTCATTTTATATTAATTAAAGTAATAAAACAATATATTTTTTAAATGCTTATTATGCGATTTCTAATTTTTATTTTTATTTTGCAGAATAACTCTAGAAAAAAAGTCGGTGTCATTTTCTCTAAATTTTAATACACATCATTGAATATTACAAAGAATTGCCTCTGGTTATAAAGGATAGAATTTCTAATTTTTCACAAGGATCTCAAATTTAACGGACAGTAGCAAAATTCTGGCTAATTATTTGATGATTCTAAAAATCATTTAAGTGAAATTAAATTTAGTTTTGAAAGTGGTTTGAAGCTTAAACTGTTATAAAATTATAGATTTAAAGTCAGCAATGGAGTTAAAAAGCTCTTCTAATCCTAGTGGATATAATGTAGAAGGTTTGAATCCAAGAACAGATTTTAGTAATTCCAAATTATTGGATGATACTAAAAGCTGTTTAAGTGAGAACTATTTCTGTTCAAAAAGTGATTTAGATATTGAGCTTGAAAAGTGTTATAAAATTTTGGGCTCAGAGTCATTGGTGGAGTCGAAAAGCTGTTCAAGTCCAACAGAATGTAGTGTAGAAGGTCTTGTACAAGGTACAGATTTTGAATTATCGGAAGACACTAAAAACAATTTCTGTTCACAAAGTGGTTTAGATCGTGAGTTCGAAAAATGTTATGAAGCTTTGGATTTAGAGCAACCAGTAGAAATAAGAAACTGTTCAAATACAAGTAAGGATAATATGCAAGATTTTATTCCAAAAACAGATTTTGAATATTCCAGATCTGAACTAAGACCTAATTCACCATCTGCGATGAATAATATTGATAATTTAAATATGCATGAAATATCTCACAAAAGTCTTGAAAATTTTGATCCATTGTCTTCTAAGATTAATTCTGAGATTTTCCCACAAGAAACTCATAACTTGAAGTCAAAAGCTGAGTTGGAGATGAATAAACTACAAATTTTGAATCTAAAAAATGATTTGAAGAGTCTTAATAAATTCTCCAATTTAGAAGAAAAATCAGATGTTGTGAAATCTAATACTCAGACTTCAAACAATCTAGGCTTGAAAAAGACTAAATCTTCAAGCTCACTTGATTCTCAGGCTTTCAATGCAGATAATAGTTATAATGATTTTGATGTTAAAAATAAGAAAGAAATTTTATCTTCAGAAGATAAAATTTTAATTAATGAGACTGAATATTCGAGCAAGGAATCAAAGTTTGATGCTTCTTTAAATAGTAACAAAACATCAAATGAAATTGTCAACTTGCTTGATTCTGAAACTTCTAATTCAGAGAATGCTAATTATGACATTAGTGCAAAAAATAAGAATAAAATATTAGCCCCAGATCATCAAATTTTAATTAATGAGACTGAATGTCCAAGCAAGGAATCAAAGTCTGATGCTTTTTTAAATAATAGCAAAACATCAAATAAAACTATCAGCTCCCTTGATTCTCAGACTTTTAATGCAGATGTTGCAAATGATGATTTTGATGGTAAAAATGTGAGCAACATTTCTTCAAGTAATAAAATTTTGAAAATCAAGACTGAATGTCCGAGCAAAAAGTTCAAGTCTGATGCTACTTTAAATAATGACAAAACCTCAAACGAAACTGATACTTTTAAACGAGGGATATTAAACAAAGATGAGTTAAAGAAAAGGGAAATTAAGGATTACTTGGAGGAAGAAAAAGATGATCTCATTAATCCTGGATGGGATGCAATAAAAAAACTTACCACCAATGAACAACGTTATCAACAAGTACGGAAGTGTTGGGAATCACGAAAAATTCCTGATCCAAACAAAAATTTGACATATCATTCCTACAGAAAAAAATTGTTTAGCTCCAGGCATCCTGAACCCAGGGCTGTTACTAAACAGAAGAGACAGGCTTCTACTCAGTTAAATGGAAAAAGTGCCAAGCGTCATTGCACCTTTTTTCTTGATAAAGAAATAGATTCTATTGAAAAAACCAAGGAAAAAGAAAAGCAAGCAATAATAAATGAAATGCATGATAAAATTAGTTCTATTGGTTATGAGGGTTCAAGATGGAATAGGGCAGCACCGTATCATCACAAGTTTAATTCTAGAGTTTCAATAATTAAAAATGAGTATTTTAAAATTGCAGATACTTGTGAAGATAAATTTAGTGATAAAATTTCTTCGTTAAATGAACGTCGCAATGAAGTCTTACAGTTTTATGGTTTTTACAAAGGATTGAATGATTCAAATAAAGACCCCACTCAGCTGACTGAATCACAATTTCAAGAATTAAACGAAATAGAAGATGTGTATAGGCAATTTGGCATTTACTACAAAGATTGATGGATGATATTGGTCAACAACATGTCAGTTCCCAAGTTTTAAAGTATTGAATTCAGACATGGGAACATTAATTGTTTCGAAATCTTAAATCTAGATAAGGAATCCTCTATTTACACAGTGGAAATGAAATTTACTATGATGTTTAATACTATAAAGATTTTAATAGTTTTCTTTTTCTAAAAGAAATATCAAATATTAAAAAATTCCTTTTCAACAGTTTATAGTTGCAATCTAGTTTAAATAGTGATAATTTCTGAATTTAATTAGTGAAAACTAAATTAAGTGAAAACTAAAACACAACAATTGGAAAAAAGATTAAATGAAATATTACCAACATTTTATGAAACTGGAACATTTAATAAATTAATTAAAGCTCTTCAATATTTTTTGGAAATAAATATAATAAAACCTAATTTTATCATTTCATAAAGAACTGCTAAAATATAATTAAATTTTAACAACACTACAAATTAACTTTTATTTCTAACAAGAAACTTTAAATAAATCACAAACTAAATATCTAGTCTACTATTAATCACATAATGGATTCGTAATTTCAAAAAGCATATTAATTTTTTTAATTAAACACTGTTAATTATGAATACACAACAGAATTTTTAATATCCAAAGATTTTAAAATTCTGTATAAACTAATATGAATAATTCTTTTAAAAGTCGATATGAAAAACTTTTTTCAGCTTTTTATATTGAATCTAATAAGTTATTTTTAATTCAACTTAATTATTAGTTCTTTTATACTTCTGAACAATAATATGATTATTTGTAGTTTCTTTCATTTTGTCCAAAGTATTAGAAGAAATAGATTTCTTTCAGACAATTTGTCAATCCTAATTTTTATATCATTACATCTATCAAAAACTATGATTCCCTTATTTAAAAATTTTAATTAACTAAAGTAGATTCACTCTACTATTTCAGATGATCAAGATTCGATTGTATTGAAAATAATTTTTGTTTATTTGTCAATTTCTAGGTCTGAAATGTCTATTTTAACATTTAATTTTAGATACTATATTTTATACAGTTTTAGTTACTATTGTCACTTTAATTAAAACTCTAGATAAAATTCTTGCAAAATACAAATAATCCAGACCTGTGATATTTGAGTTTTGAAAAATTGATTGTTGTGTTATCAATGATTTTAATATTGTTTACATTATAAGTTTTTTGTGTTCAAAATTATTATAAGCAGATTTTTGTGTGATTTGCTTAACATTGGAATTATTAGCACTGTCATTTGTTGGTATTTTTTGATAATTGATTACAATTTAATACACAATACAATTTAATTTAATACACAAAGACAAGAAAATTTGATGTATTTTTTGTTTGTTAAAGCATATTGTAATTATCTGTAAATAATCTAGGAATATGTATAATAGGAGATAAAACAGAAATAAATGGAAAAAAATGTCTCATTAAATATTATTTCTCTGACTCATGTGTGTTTAGTAGCATTATCAAATAGCTTAAAGAAAATTAAACGAGTAAAAAAGTTTTGATAAGAGGCAGGGTTGGCAAGATTTTGCCACAGGTGGAAAAAACCATGGTAAATACCGGTAAAAACCATCCTGGCAAAAACAGGTTTTTGCAAAGCAATTTTCCAAGATGAGAGGACAAAAACACATTTTTGATACAAAATTATTCCTAAAATTGAAATATATACTATGAATATAAATAATTACAAAAAAATTAACAAAATTATTGTTCCATAATTAAATGATAATTTAATAATATATCATTTTAGTAGTTTAAAACATTATTGATTGGAAAATTTGTGATTATTCTCTTTTTTCCAGTGAAATGAACTTATTTTAAATTAATATAACTATAATTTAAAACATAAAATATCTATCAATATGTGTAGTTAATTATTGTACAAATAATAATTTTTTATAATAAATAATAATATTATACAAATAATAATATTTATTTATTTGTAAAAAAACATTTATTTTAGGATTCTAAAATGAAAAGAGATCACAAACTTTCAATCTTTTAAAAATTATTACCATTATATTAATTATTAATATGTTAAAAATAATTTTTTCATGTAATGTATCAAAATTATTATTCCTTATGATTGATTTAAATTTGTTTCAAGTATTTTGTAATAATATTTAATCAGCAATTTAGATAA